TGGCCAGAATTTGCGAATCGTAATGTTGGCTGATCTTGCATAATTCTGGCCAAATCACAGAATTTCACAGAATTAACGCAAGATCGATTCAAATTATCTTGAAAATGAAAAACATCGAATTTAAATTTTTTAACGCTAATTAAAATGATAAGGGTTTTCTTATATCGCTTTAATTATTTATGCAAAGATCATATGAACGTTGAAGACGATTTCTTAATAAAGACAATTTCAAAAATACTGTGATACCCAGTAATATAATTAATACCTTATTTAGTAATATATGTAACCTAAATTTTTTTTTTGATCCCTAAATATTTATTTACAAAGTCACATAAGGAGCGTTCCTAATTTATTATATAAAAACCCACTAATGGGGAATAAATTTCATTTAAATAATGCGTAGTTCTATCGTAACTGTTTTATTGATTCCTTTGACATTATTCTGTTGGCTTCGCGCATATTACGTATATAAAGAAGCAAATTTTTCACTTTTTGCAACTGAAAATGAAAAGCCTTTACATGTTTCACCTTTGACAAGTGGTGACCCTGTTTTACAAAGGGTTAATAATAACACTTTGGGTGATAGTCCCAACAATATATTTTATTTTATGCAGGTATTATTATTCTTTACTTCTGATGTAGTTTTAAGAAAATCTCTCCGAAATTAGATCATTCTAATCATGTTCTTTATTAGATTACCGACTTGCACATATCGAAATTTCAGAAAATTGGCGGTACCTCGCATTTCTTACATTTTCTCGCGACGGTACTTAGCGTGATTTCTTCACCTGCATTCGTTTTAGTCACCGGTGACTTGACTGACGCCAAAGATGAAAATTTGATAACTTCCCAACAATACATTGATGAATGGGTTACATATCAAACCGCATTGCAGGTAATTAACCTATTTTAACATAGCTTTTGTCGATCCATCAAATTTAACATCATTGATAAATTTTATAGGAATCAGGTGTTCTTAATCGTCCAGGATTTTGGCATGATCTACGTGGAAATCATGATTGTTTCAACGTAGGATCATGGGAAAGTGAACAAAACATGTATAAAACGTTTGGCGTAGGAAAACAGCGAGGATT